AGAAGTTAAAAGTAGCAAAAGGCTAGCTAAAAGAAGTATAAAGAGGCTAGCTAGAAGTTAAAAGTAGTAAAAGGTTAGCTAAAAGAAGTATAAAGAGGCTAGCTAGAAGTTAAAAGTAGCAAAAGGCTAGCTGAAAGAGGTTATGTTCTTAAAAAGTAGAAAAAGTAAAGTTTGTGAGCTACCAGGTGATGTTCACCTGCAGAAAGATTTGAAGTTTCTGAAAATACGTCGGTGAAAAGAGACGTTTGGGACGGAACATGTTCTCTTTCAAACCTCGCTCAGTATCTCACTGTGGGAAGCGCCTTCAAGCGTGACCAATCAGGAAGCTCTGATGCCACCACATCTGTCTCTGACAGACCAATACGTGCTTGGCACGGGGGCGCCCTCCCCCTTTATAAACAYCCCTGCCCGACACTTGGTATTCTTGCTTTCTTCCACGTGAAGCTCAGAGTAGCTCCTACTTCGGTCCTGGACTTGGATTACGCATTTAACTGTTGGCAGACTCAGCCGTCAAGGTTAGTCCAGAACGTGAGTTCTTCAAGTGATTTGGACCTACAAAAAAAAGGTTTTGTCAAGAAACATTTTTTTCGTTAAGAAAAATACATTTTTGTCAAGAAAATCTCATTTTGCTAACAGCTACCTGGATCCACCTTGCGTCTCTCTTGATCTCAAACTGTCGAAGCTGAGTGTGGATGAGATGGCGACCGCTGGCTCCTCTCGGGGGAAGTCAGTTGACGGCAAGGCTAAGGACGTCGAGTCCCGTCCTTGCCCAGCCTCCTGCGGGTACACCATATCGGGGAAGGATCCTCATCCCCTCTGCGTCATATGCATGGGGGTGAAACACACCAAGGAGGCGCTGGCAGACCCCAACTCATGTGACCACTGTCGCCCCATGGCACCGCAGATCTTACAGAGACGCCTGCGGGTTGCAGTGGCCTCAAAAGCCGACCAATGTCTCTCCGAGGCGGGGACGCAGCCTGGCGCGAAGTCCGGTGGTGGGACAGGTGCGGCAGGCGGGAGCTGGCGGGGCCCCAGTCGGGCAACATCTGCTGATTAAGAGGTTTATGAAGGGTGCTCGTAGACTGCGTCCTGCAGTGAAGCCCCTTTTCCCATCATGGGATTTGCCTGTGGTTCTGGAAGCCCTCTCAAGCTTGCCTTTTGAACCATTGAGTGTGCAGACTTACGTTTACTGTCTCTTAAACTCATCCTGCTGCTGGCCTTCACATCAGCTAAAAGGATAAGTGAATTACACGCTTTGTGCATGCATCGTGTTCTCAAATTTCTCCAGACTACAGGAAGGTGATGCTGCGACCTAATCCTGTTTTTGTGTCTAMGGTCAGTGACTCAGCATACAGATGTTTGTCACTGGAGGTGATGGCTTTTCATCCCTTACCATTTACTGGTGAAAATGAAAGACGGTTAAATCTGTTGTGTCCAGTGTGCACTTTACGTGTTTATCTGGACAGGACAAAGAGTTTACGTAAAAGTAACAACTCTTTGTATCCTGGGCCCCGGGCCATATGGGAAAGCCTCYGTCCAGCCAGAGACTGTCGCACTGGATTGTGGAGGCTATTAGGGAGGCCTATGTTTGCCAAGGGCTACAGCCCCCAGAGCAACTGAGAGCGCATTCCACCAGAGGTATGTCCACCTCTTCGGCCCTTTTCAGGGGGGTTTCGRTGGGAGACATATGCGCAGCTGCCAGTTGGGCATCTCCTCACACTTTCATTAAGATCTACCGCCTGGATGTGGCTGGGTCATCGCTGGCACATTCAGTCTTCRTGGTGGGTTCAAAGCCCAGCACTGGCCCATGAGGGGGACTAGGTGGGGTTAACATTTACATCTCAGATGTATTAAGGCTCGGTTATAGTCGCACTTTGGGTTGTTGCGCAAGCTCTGCGGAGTGGACGCGCTCCTGAAAACATAGTTGACGTTCATGTTATCGCTGTTCTTCCGTCACCGACAGACGGCAGTACGGTGCCAAACCAGCGGAAAAGTAGTCGGGAAGAGTGTAGAAGAAGAAATACTTGACGTCACACATAACAAAGTAAACGCATTTACCTCTTTTTCCATATTATCTGTTTCTCTGTGCTTCGCGAACTGAGAGAGCAACACTGGTTTGTTTCCTCCAGGATCACAAACCGGTCGCAAATCTTTTTCCATGTCTTCCGGCATATTAACTCATCTTTATTTAAAGCCGTTGCTGTTTCCTTCCATGAGTTTTGTGCCATCTGGTTATCTTTATGATCTCTCATGTAGGGATCGTACAAATGTTGGTACATTCGGACCTGTTCAGCGAGAGCACCTTCGCGACGAGTGGCGCGCAGCCTTTGCGAACCTTCAAAACTTCAAAGGTGCACGACCACGCACCAGGACACAACACGGGGCCAATGCGTGGGGGCAGGGATGCTACGATTKCGCCACTTTTGACGCAAACCCCCTCGCGCCCTGTGCGTCGTGCAATCCGGGAGTTGGCTATATCTCCCATAGTGAGATACCGATCGAGGTTTGAAAGAGAACTTTTGGTTACGGAGGTAACCCTGGTTCTCTGAAAACTGAGTGAGGTATCTCACCACACTGCCCTGCTTGCCTGATCACGTGGAAGAAAGACACGTGAGAATACCAAGTGTGGGGCAGGGGCRTTTATAAAGGGGGAGGGCGCCCCTGTGCCAAGCACGTATTGGTCTGTCAGAGACAGAYGTGGTGAGACTAGAGCTTCCTGATTGGTCACGCCTGAAGGCGCTTCCCACAGTGAGATACCGAGCGAGGTTTTCAGAGAACCAGGGTTACCTCCGTAACCCAAAGTTTTAGCTCAGCTTTGTTTACACTGAGTGCAGACCCTCGTTGTACAGCTTGTTCCCTGTTTGTAGYGGAGCTGCTGCAGATTCCTTCAGGAGGACAAGCTGTTACAGTACGTTTGATCATCGGGGGCGGGGCTTCACATGTGGAAAACACCCCGAGTCACGTGAGCGAGGCCACGTGTGCTCAGCTGCGAGGAAGAAGTCTGATTTTCACAAGTGTATCGTTTAATCAGCCGAACATGAAATTAGCTGCTCTCTCTCTCTCTCTCTCTCTCTCTCTCTCTCTCTCTCTCTCTCTCTCTCTCTCCGGTGTTTCTCCCCATTGCATGGTATCCATGGTGACGGGGCCGCTCCTCCACACCCACGCTGCGTACCCCTCAGCTCGCAGCGCATCGAGCCAGAAAAGAGGGAGAGAAAAATAAAAAAATATAAGAGAGGTGTGTTTTCTAACCCACGCATTAGAGTGGGAGAGGACGTGCACACGCTCACGTGCACGCTCGCTCACACACACACACACACACACACAGAGTGGCGTACCGGGAGTGTGTGTGTCAC